GAGGAACAACATAGTGGTGAGTTCCCTCGGTTTTCCTTTTGCCTAATATTTTCCAGATTCTACAAAAGCTGCAACCCTGATACACCAACAGGCACACACATAAGTAGCCCCCAAACTGCCCTCTTTTAAGTCACAGAACCAGGAAAGAAGCAACCTAACAAGACAGAAAAGTTTTAAGAAAATAACCACTCTACCACAGCAGAAGACCACACAAAAAAAAATTCTGGCTCTATACCCACCCAAGCCTGCAAAGGTACAATGGAGAGCCTAGAATTTCACCAATGATAGGCTATAATGAGGCGCTTCTACCTTTCTCCTCCTATCCCCCAACTAGAATCATATCAGAGAAGGCTAAATAATCACTAAAACATCTGTGCAGGCCAGGCACAGTAGCTCACTCCTGTAATCCCAGCACTTTGGAGGCCGAGGCAGGCAGATCACCTGAGGTCACGACTTCTAGACCAGCCTGGCCAACACGGTGAAACCCCATCTCTACTAAAAACACAAAAATTAGCCGGGTGTGGTGGTGGGCACCTGTAGTCCTAGCTACTCGAGAGGCTGAGGTAGGAGAATCGATTTAACCGGGGAGGCAGAGGTTGCAGTGAGCCGAGATCGTGCCACTGCACTCCAACCTGGGCAACAAGAGTGAAACTCCATCTGAGAAAACAATAATAATGATAATAATCTATGCAAGAGATAACATTCATAAGTCACTGATAGCTAAACCAAAATGAAATTCTAAAAAAGTTCAAGTAAGCCACAGGAAGACAGAAAAGAAAAACACTGAGAAATAAACACAGAGTAAATAGAAAACAGAAAATAAATGGCAGGCTTCAATACTGACATAACAATAATTGCACTAAATGTAAGCAGTCTATATACACCAATTAAAAGACAGATTACCAGAGTAGATTAAAAAGTGACCCAACTTTATGCTTCCTAAAATTAAAATCACTTCAAATATAATACATAGGTTGAAAGTAAAAGAATCGGAAAAGATATACCATGCAAACCACTAGTTAAAATAAAGCAGGTGTGGCAATATAATTACAAGATAAAGTAGACCTGAGCAAGGGAAAGGGATATTATGTAATATCCACCCACCACCAAGAAGACTAGCAATCAAAAATATATATGCACCAAATGATAGAGCTGTAAAATATGTAAAGCAAAAACTGGTAAAACTGAAAAAAAAAAAAAGACAAATCCACTATTATAGCTGGAGACTTCAACACTCTTCTCTCTAAAATTAATAGAACTAAACAAGAAGGATAGAGAACTCAACAATTATAGAAAACTTCACCTAACAACAGCAGAATACATATTCTTTCCCAGTGCTCATGGAGCATATATCTAGATAAATCATATCCTGTCCCACAAAAACAAACTTCAAATTATTTAAAAGAATTGAAATTACACAGATTATATCCTTTCACTACAATGAAATCAAACTAGAAATCAGTAACAAAAATATAACATAAACATCTCCAAGCACTTGGAAACAGAATAACACACTTCTAAATAATCCATGGGTCAAAGAGAAAGTTTCAAGTATAATGTATTTAAAAAATACATTAAACTTAATAAAACTAAAATACAATATATCAAAATGTGTGAGATGCAACTAAAATAGTGCTGAGAGGAAAATTTATAGCATTAAGTGCTTACATTACTACAACTCGCCCAATATGAAATATATAATTTGAACAGCCCTGTAACCATTAAGGAAATTAAATTTACCAAAAGTTTAAAGAAGAGTTAATACCAGTTCTATAAAACTTCAAGAAAATAGAAGAAAAGGGAAGATTCCCAATTAATTTTATAAAGTGAATATTATTGTGATACTCCAGACAAAGACAGTAGCCCAAACAAACAAAAAATGAAATCCCATACTATAGACCAATAGATGTAAAAATTGTTTTAAAAATATTAGCAAAAAAATTCAGTAATATATATAAAAGGAATTATACGCTATGGCCAAGTAAGTTTATCCAAGGATGTAAGGCTGGTTCAATATTTGAATACCAACTAGCATAATTTATCTTATTAGGCAGCTAAAAAAGAAAAATTACAAGATGCACAAAAAGCATTTGAAAAAATACAACACCCAGTTATGGGAAAAACTCTTAGCAAAAGAGAAAGAGAGGGGCAAATACACCCCTTCTCAATTTGATAGAGAAAATCTACAAAAAAACTATAAGTAACATTATGGAATGCCTTCCCCCTAAGATGAGGAAAACAGCTAGGATATCCACCCTTACCACTGCTATTCATCATAGTACACACTTATTTAGAAGTGTATTATTCAGTTTCCAAGTGTATGTAAGCTCTAGCCAGCATGCTAAAACAAGAAAATTCAATAAAAGGCATATACATTGGAAAGGAAGAAACAAAACTGCCTCTATTTGCAAATTCCAAGATAGTGTATGTAGACAATCCAAAGGAATCTACCAGAAAAAAATCTCATAGAACTAATAAGCAAGTTTAGCAATGCCACAGGACACAAGAGCATCACATGAAAATCAATCATATTTCTATATACCAGCAATACATACATAGAAACAAAAATTAAAACAAAAACAAAAATTAAAAGTACAATAGTTCAAAAGAAAAAACTGAAGTAAATACTTAGGTATAAATCTAACAAAACACGCACAGCACTTGTAGGCTGAAAAATATAAAATGCTAACAAAAGAAATCAAAGAAGACTAAAATGGAAAGATATGCCATTCCTGCTAATGGGAAAGTCAACTTAATAAAGATGTTCCCTTAATTCTCCCTAAACTGATAGAAAGATTTAACACATTTTTTATCAAAGTCCTAGCACGTGGGAACAGGGGATCTAGTGAACTGAAAGAATGTTGCCGAGTTCACCCAACTCCAAGGCAGCAGCAGGAAGGATCCTTCCTGGCCCCACTCCGCAATGACTGTCGCTCACCTGGATCAGCCTCTCTTGCTGTGAGTTGGAGTCTGCAAAGTTGAGGTCTCTCTCTCTGTCTCTCTACCTGTACCTAAGACAGAGGTTCTCACACTTTAGTGTGCTGGAGATTCCCTCAGTATCTTCCCAGACCCCTGGCCCTGCCCAGGCACCAGCAGACTCTCTGGAGCTTGAGAATCAGGCATGTGTGTTGGACAAGAGGAGCAAGAAAGGGAAGAAGACAGAGCTGGTGACTTACATGGCTCAGAAAGAACCCAGGAATTGGCTGGGCATGGTGGCTCATGCCTGTAATCTCAGCACTTTGAAAGGCCGAGGCAGGCGGATCACAAAGTCAGAAGTTCAAGACCAGCCTGACCAACATGGAGAAACCCCGTCTCTACAAAAATATACAAAATTAGCCGGATGTGGTGGTGGGCGCCTGCACTCTCAGCTACTCAGGAGGCTGAGCGAGGAGAATCGCTTGAACCCAGGAGGCAGAAGTTGCAGTGAGCCAAGATCATGCCACTGCACTCCAGCCAGGGTGACAGAGCAAAACTCCATCTCAAAAAAAAGAACCCAGGAATCTTTTTCGAGGTTGTCGCTGGGATAGTGGTGCAGATGTGGCTGAGGGAGGCCCGGCCAGCCCCTGTGGGACCATCTCGCTTGGTGCACAGGACACCTACTGACAGTCACCAGTGCACTACCATGGAAGAAATCTTCCTGGAGCTCATGGCATGGACCAATCAGCACTTTTCAGAAGCTAAAAAAGGCCCAGCCCGCTCCCCTTCTCTGTGGGTCCCAGTATATTTTTAAAAGTCAAGACAATTCAAAACAGAGTTTCTAAAACTATGGCATGTTTGTAATGTTTTAGTTATTAAATTAGTGCTTTTGATGCATACACAGACACACACACACACACACACACAAAAAAAAAAAAAAAAACCAAAGTCCTTGCATGATTTTTTGTATATATAGATTACTGTAAAATTTATATGGAATGATAAAGAAACTGGAATATCTAACACAACCAAAAAGAATAATAATGAGGGAAGCACCAGTCTACCTGATTTCAAGACTTAACTATAGCTATGGTAGTCAATACTGTGTAATATTAGTGAAAAGAAAGACACATAGATCAGTGGAACACAATACACAATTGAGATACAGCCCCATACAAGTATAGCCAAGTGACTTTTAACAAAGGTGCAAATGTAATTCAATGGAAGAAAAAGAATCTTTTTAACAAAAAATGCTGAAGAAAATGGATATCCACAGGAAATAAAAAAATGAACCTTGACCTCTACCTCATAGTATATGTAAAACTTAACTCAAAATAGATTTAAATGCAATATATAAAACTTTTAGAGGAAAATATAGAAGAAAACCTTTGTAACCAGGGTCTCCTTAATGGGCTCTTAGACATCAAAAGCATAACACATAAATGAAAAAATTAATAGATTGAATTTTATCAAAATTATATTTTTTCCTCTGTGAAAGTCCCTTTAGTTAAGAGGATGAAAACACAAGCTGTGAGCCAGGAAAAAAAATATTTGCAAACTGAATCCGATAAAGAAATAATCTAGAAAGAAATCTGAAAACTTACCACTAAAAAAACCAGACAATTCAATTTAAAAAATGGGCAAAAGGCACAAAGAGCTGTTTCACCAAAAAGAATATACAGATGGCAAGTAAGTACATGAAAAGATGTTCAATATAATTAGTCATTATAGAAATGTAAATTAAGACTGCAATGAAATATCCTACTCATCTATCAAAATAGCTTAAATAAAATATAATGATAACACCAAATACTTGAGGGTGTTCAGAGACACTGGATCACCCATACATTGCTGGTGGAAATCGTTTGTCAGTTTCTTAAAAAAACTCATCATACATATACCTTATCACTCAACAATCATGCTGCTGTGCATTAGAAATAAAAACTTGCATGTGCACAAAAGCCTGTACATGTTTCATAACAGCTTCATTTGTATAGCCAAAAGCTGAAAGTAATCAAAATGTTGTGCAACAGGTGAATGAGTAAAGAAATCATGGTACATCCATATCATGGAATACTACTCACCATTAAAAAGGGATGAAGTATTGATACACATAATTTAGATAGATTACGGGAATCTACACATGTAAGAAAATGAGAAGAAACTACACACACACACATTGTACCAATGTCAAATTCCTGGTTTTGATCTTTTACTATACTTATATATGTGCCCATTTGGGGAAACTGGGTTAAGGATACATGGAAACTCTAGCTTTACAACTTCTTGTATAATTATTTTTAAGAAATTAAAAGATAACAAAAGAGCAATTCAGAAATTATTTTGACGTTCCAGCCTTCTTCTTGCGCAAAACATAGAAAATGAAAATAAACCATCATTTTTTCAATGGTATGAAATCATTCCTCTGTGTTTTAAAATAGTAAATAAAACAGTACATAGGTGACTAAAAGAGATACTTCCGAAAGAATAAAAACTATATTTCTACATAGTGGCATAGGTCCTGAGAATATCAATTTTTAAAACTCTAACCACAAACACTTTTAATTAACTTCATTGTCAGGAAAATCATGTATGTAATTTAGATCTTGTATTGGATTAATTATTGAGCCTCATGGTTAATGAATAAGTGGAACACATGAGATAAACACAAAGTTATTTTTATTTCTATAAATAGTAACAGAAATCAGCTTTATTAGAAAATTTCAAGTATCCTAAAATAATATATAAGGATCATACATAGCTATTCACTTTTATAAGACTTTAAAAAAAAAATCTGCCATGTTTACTCTACACAGAATGACAAATCCAAAGAGCTGAAAATTTCCATTTCTTAAATTTCATTTGAGTAAATCCTATTAGTATAGTGTATTTTGCAAATAACAAAGAATATGGCTTTTGGAACTAGAGAAATAAGAGTCCTAAATGGTTCATCAATAACTAGTGACTCCTACTTAGGCTCTCTGAAGTTTTGGCTTCCTCATCTGACATACCTGTCACACTGGACTGTTGTGAGACTTAAATGATACAATGTATATTAAGTTAATATTGTCAAATTATATATAAATATTAATGATTAAAATCAATAACATTAACTGTTAAACAATTCTTAATTCTTGGCAAAAATTTATAAGGCAATTATTTTTCTTCAAATAGTCTTCAAATTCAATTATGCTATTTCACTGATTTTAAGACACAAACTTTTTCGCACTTATCTGCACCTGACAGACATCTTATAATCACTCTGGTTGGGTAGTAGCATGACATATTTGTCATTACATGTGTATTAAATTTGAAGTATGGACATCAGCATCTTGGAAGAAGACCCTGGAGATAATAATGGACATTGGTTTAAGAAATGATGTATCACTAATGCTCTAAACAGAGAATGATACTATAAAAACAAAACATAGACATGGGGACTCTGAATTGAAAATCAATAAAAGACATTTTGAATGTTAAGAAGTTTTAGGCCGGGCGCGGTGGCTCACGCCTGTAATCCCAGCACTTTGGGAGGCCGAGGCAGGCGGATCACGAGGTGAAGAGATCAAGACCATCCTGGCCAACATGGTGAAACCCCGTCTCTACTAAAAACACAGAAAAATTAGCTGGGCGTAGTGGCACGCGCCTGTAGTCCCAGCTACTCGGGAGGCTGAGGCAGGAGAACTGCTTGAACCCGGGAGGTGGAGATTGCAGTGAGCCGAGATCGAGCCACTGCACTCCAGCCTGGCACCTGGTGACAAGGTGAGACTCTGTCTCAAAAAAAAAAAAAAAAAAAAAAAGAAGTTTTAGGAGTGCCTCAGCCAATTAATTTTGCTTATGTTCTTTGTACGTAAGTGAAAGGATATTATATGATTTTTTTTAAAGGGAGCTCTTTGTATGAGTAGAAAAAATTCTTAATGATAAAGAGTTGTGCCATAGTTGGTATTTTTTTTCTTAGTAGTATATAAAATAATAGTATACTTTATAAGATTGCATCCTAGCTTCAATGAAACACCTTCCTGCCCAAAACACTGACTCAGTTTTAAAAATGATTCTCTTATTGTTTTAAAGTCTTCCATTAAAATTTGATTTAAATAATTGAATCAATAAAGGTACAAGAGTCAAGCCTAAAAACGAAGCCTTTGATAAAAAAGTAATGACAAAAATCAAATACCACTTGATAAAAGTAGAACATTAAAGCTGTGCTCTACCTGATCTGGGCTTTGATTTCATTGGGTCCTACAGTGATCTTAGTTTGGTCACTGATGTTTCAATATGTGGCATGATTTCTGGCCTATTCTAGTAAATATTTATTATAGATGCTAACTATATGACAAGCACTGAATTAGGCACTAGAGATAGCAAAGAGAATAAAAGACAGACATGGTCCTTGCTTTTTTGTTGCTCAGTATCTGGTGAAGAAGACATAATAAATAAGGTACTATAAGTTTTTATAAATACTGTGAAGACATAGTAGGAAGTAGAAATAAAAATGAACAATGAGGGCATTCAATTTCAGACAGTAACAATCGGTTACGGTGAACGCTTATATAGTGTTTATTATGTGCCATGCATTGTACTATGTTTTGGTTTTTTGAGAGACTCTTGCTGCGTCACCCAGGATAGAGTACAGTGGCAGGATCACAGCTCACTGAAGCCTCAACCTCCTGGTTCAAGCAATCCTCCCACTTCAGCCTCCTGAGTAGCTAGGATTACAGGTGTGCATTAGTACACTTGGCTAATTTTTTTTTTTTTTTAAGAGATAGGATCTCACTATATTACCCAGGTTGGGCTCAAACTCCTGGCCTTAGGTGATACTTGCGCCTCAGCTTCCCAAACTGCTGTGACAATAGGCATGAGCCACCACGCCTGGCCCATGCTATATGTTTTACACATAGTCTTTTAATCTTCAAAAAACCTAAATAAAGCAGATACTTATCTTCACTTTAAGAGAGAGAAAATGGGCTTTGATAATTTAAGTAATTTGGCTAAGATCATATAGCAAGTAAGTGGGGAGGTTGGTATGTGAACTCAGTCTGGGTTGAGAGCCCTTGCTTTCATCCACTACACTACTAGGGAAAGCCTTTCTGAAGTGTCATTTGAGAACTGAATCATAAGAAGGTAAGGAGATAGTGAGAGAAATCATATATAAAGCCCTACAGGGGGAAAGGAGTCCTTCAGGTTTAGGAAATTAAAGGCAGCCAATATGGCTGGAGTAGTTAATGAAAGCAAGAGGGTCAGGAGATAGGGCTGCAGAAAGCAGTTGCTACCTCAGGCAGAATCCTATGGGTCACAGGAGCTGGGAGTTTATTCCAAGTGAAATAGGAACAACTGATCATTTTAAACCGGACAGTGACATGACATCATTTTTTTAAAAAATATTTTTGTAGCTAATGTATCAAGAACGAATTGAAAGAAGGTATGAGGAGTCCAAGTCATTCATTTATTCAACAAATATTAGTTTGTGGAGTAACAAATATTGTGGCAGGCACTATTCTAGATACTAGAAATGCAGCTAAAAACAACATAGACAAGGTTCTCTACTCTGGAGTCCGCTTTAGAATGGTGAACACACACACACACACCCCTCCCTTCTCCTACATTAACAATTTCTCCACACTTCTGGACATTTTCCAACAGCATGCCACTTCTACTATCTTTCATCTTTAAACAAACATCAAACAAAAATCTATCATCTGATCTTTTATTCCCCTCTAGCTACCATCCCATTTTTCTACTTCCTAAATCCAGAAAAACTTTGAAAAACTTTCAAGAACACTCTGTGGTAGTGTCACCTCCAGTTATTGTCTCAACCCACTACAATAAAATTTCTTTCTTTTACTCCATTAAAACTGCCCTTGTCAGTGTCACCACAATGCCATCTTGAAGCTAAATTTTCATTTCTCTCTCCTTCTCTTATTTCACCTCTTAGGAATATTCATACTGTTAACTAGTCCTTCTTGAAACACTCATCTTTTAGTTTCTGTACCACAACATTCTTTAGGTTTCTTACCTTGCTGGCCTCTCCTTCTCAGTCTAATTAGAGGGCAATATAGCATAAAGATTAAGGGCATGGATTTCTAGATTTAGCTCTGAAAGCAGGTTGTGCTATGGCATGGAAGACAGACATTGGAAGAGAGTGCTCCCCTTTCTCAGGCAGGCTAGAAAAATGATTAGTATTTCAGATGAAAAGTGATGGTGAGTTATACCAGAGTGTTAACAGTGGAAATAAAGAGAAATAAATGGATTTAGCTGTATTTTAGAAGTACAGCCAAAAACATTTAGAGATGGATTGGATATAGGGAGTCAAAGAAAAGGACCATCATACTTTTTTCATTGAGAAACTGGTAGAATTAGGGAGCTACTCAAAGAAGTCTTGGGCGGGGGGAAAAGGTTTGAGGTAGAATAAAGTTTGTGACCCAATAAAAAGTTAGTGAATATATCCAGAAAACACCTAGACTTAGAGATGATCTCATCCAATGCCTTTCCATTGAAATTAATACCTGGAAAAGGTTACATCACGCATAGGATCCTCTGTAACCAAAGTCACACAAACAATTAGTGGTAGAGCTGGAAACACAAAATGAGTCTCCCAGAATCCTGCTAAGAAGCCACAGATCAGCATCAAGACAATCATTACAGACTCAGTGAGCCTCTATTACTTTAGTCCTCTTCTTCCCCTGATCAATGCAATAAAAAATATTTTAATAAAATTGTTGGGTTCATTTAACATAGGCAAGTTATGAACTGCATATTTATATTTCCTTAATAAAAGTGAGTGAGGGAAGTAAAGGCAGATGGGATATAAAAAGCAGTGTTACCCTTGATGTTAATTGTGGAGGCATTAATAACATTTACTCATGTGTCCTATTTGTAAAAGGTTTACATGACATTCCCGCTCAAGTACTATCCATTCTATTTTGCAAGATAGTGCACATGCAAATAATTCAGGACAGTAAAAGAGATGTCATAAGACAATACTAGATTAACTGCCAAATGAATTATATAAACAATACTGTTTTGAGAAAAGGTACTCTGAAGTAGGCCCTAAGAGAAGGTTTAAGTTAAGCTCTAGAGGATGACACAGAAGATTTTTAAAAGTACACAGGGAAGGGGATTAAACAAACCTATAAAATTTATTCACTAGGATGCTAGGTTTGGGGCTGAGGTTTGGGAGTGGGGAGAGTGAGCTATTTTAGACTGTGTGAACAGAGATACTCTGTTTGGTAGGACATTTGGGGCTGAATGATACAGAGGAAACAAGGAATGTGATAATGGGAGAAGGGGAGAATATTCTAGATATAACAAGTACAAATAATCCCTACATTACTGTCTGTGTATTAGACTCCATAGATTTGACACACAGAGATCTTGTTCGATGGGAAAATAATGGGATATGAATTCCTAAACTTGAATTTAAACAAATTCTCTTTCTGAGCGCAGTGTCTCCATCAGTAATAAGTGCTGCACATAACATGTGCAATAACGTACACAGAAGTGTTTTGGAAGCAGAAACGTATAATGTACCAAAGTTATAAAAATCAATTTAAAAGGCAAGAAGGAAAAGTTATATGATTCTTAAAAATAAAGAAGTGAGTTATGATCATTGATGATATGGGTATTAGTATTACCTTATGTATTTTACACTGTCTCTTGTACTTTTTATGCATATGATTTATTTGCCTTACCAGATTGTAAGCTCCCTGCAGCTGGTAAGCAGATTTTCAATATGGTAGGTGACACAAGCTTTTGGTTAGCTAAGATGATATATTAAGCCAATAATTCATTTTACTGTCCTTTAGGGATCTGAATTTCTGTGTGTGTGTGTGCGCTCAGAATACCATCTACTTTCGAGGGATTCGAGGGGGCTTATATCATGAAAAGTTAACGAAAACAAGTATAGATAAAAACAGAATAGAACCCATCTTAAAGAGACAGAGATAATAGGAAGGTAACTGTGTTAATTACTACTGCTGGCCTTTGGCTGGTATTTCCTGGCAGTCAGAGGAAGAAGGAAATCGGCTGAATCCCGCAGTACTGCACTTGAATCGACCTCCAGGTAGTCATTTACAGTCATCTGCAGAGACCTTTTCCCTGGAACAAAACCTGCAGGGCACTTGGATCGCGTGGGCTTTCATACGAGAATCAACAACAGCCTATACGGAACAACTAAGGAAGCAGACACACATCAGTATGACCCTTCATGAAGCCTGTGAAAATAACTGAGCAGAGTTATTTACTTGTTTCTGCTGCTGTTAGAGAAAGGACCTCTGTCATGATGGAAACACTGCAGCCTCAACAATGGAATCCTGTTTCCTCGCTAGGGCTCTAACCCAGGCTTGGCAATAGAAAACAGCACCTGGATCGCTTCATCGCCCCCAAATAAACTGCCAGCATTAGCCCAGCTGCTCGCTGGCAACCTCGGATTCAGGCGAGGTCGGTGTTCCGCACTG